GTAATATTTTCCATATTTCGGGTATGAGTGATGAATCATTCCTATTGCATGTGTTGGGTGTAGATTCGATGAACAAGGATTCAGTAATCAACCTCTCTCGCGCTACACCTACCTAGATTACTTTTTAGAATTTTAACCCTCTCCCACCTATTGTGTGGTTGTGTGTTAATGCATGCATTGCAATTGCTGAGCTTTTTTCTAAATTACTTATCTTCTTGGGGTCAACCATTCTTACCTTAGCTAAATTCTTATGTTCTGATAATCTCACTACTCCTGACCTACTAGTTTGACCTATGTGTAGTTGACCTCACAGTCATTGCAGGGTATTTTGTAAATTATATTATTTTGTTTAATTGGGTCAACTGGGTCCTTTAACCTACAGAGCTTGTCCTACCTGAGTGAGTTTGTAGGTTTGAATGCCACCACCCTAATTCCTGCTTTATTGAGAATCCTTCGTAGGGTCTCAGATGTCCCCTCTTTATATGGTATAACTGTAGATGAGAGAGAATATAAGTCATCTACATTACTGTATAACATCACTGTGAGACTTTATCAAAACAAAATTTACCCTATAATGGAATTACACTCTACCACAGTGCACAAGTTTTATTCTTATATCAATAATGATCAACTTGTAAAGTAGCAGTGCAAAGTGGCACATTTTTCACACACACATACACACACACACACACACAAGGAAATGAAAGGAAACAGGATTACAATATATCAACACATGCTATAGTTTATTACTGTAAACAAAATAACTTTGTGTGTGTGTGTAATTGTGCCGCATATCTATGTGAAAATTTCCAACTTTCAATTTCTGGCATTCAGAAGATACCACCACTAGTTGGAATAATTCCTGAATAATTAGAAAAACACATCAAAGAGAGAGAGAGAGACAGACAGAGAGTAGCTTTCAGGTTTGGTACTGAACTTTGACAAAACCATTCTTGGTTCTCTTTCAATCTGATCGTGATTTTCTGATTACTGACGATGTAAAAAAAGGTTAACATTCTGCACTGAAATTCATCAACTTGTAATGAGATATATACTACTAAGCGATTGAAATAAGTAGTTGAATACTACTCACACACCAACCAGTACTACTTCACCACTTGTTAACCAGACTGACGTTTCAGGTCGAGTTTATCAGCAACGTACTCAATTTAACACACACAGCCAAGTGTGTCAAATCAGTTGAAAGTACTCGAATTCTAACTAACCATCTAGGTAAACTATTAGATCAAATGCACAATTTGCAATTTACACACATGCACACACAATTCGAGGTGAAGTTTTCATAAAAGTCTCCCTTGAAAAAACGCAAATTATTCATATTAATATATGTGTAAAACTTGGGCACTGTGGTAGTAAGTAATTCCATATTAGTTTGTTTATTAGATGTATCACACAGTCAGTGAAACAGTATCATTATTTACTGGATGACAAGGTTTCGAACAAAATTTATTGTTCATAATCATTTATCAATTGTAATCACATGACTTCGAAATTGAGTTTTATAGTTTTATTTGTCTTCTCCTATTTGTCGTCGTTGGGGGTAGTAGAATTTTCCAGATATCTGAGTGGACACGTGTTGAATCATTCCTGTTACACGTGTTTGCAGTTGATTCGATAAACAAAGCTTCTGTTATCAATCTCTCCCTCCACCATGTTAGTTGTATTAGATTTTAAAACTGTCATCTTATCCCATCCATCTTATTGTATGGTTGTGTGTAATTGCATGTAGTGAGTGGTATAGCTGAACTATTCTCTAGATTTCTTATCTTATTTGGATCAGCCAATTTAGATTTTGCTAAGTTTTTATGTTCATCTAGTCTGACTGCCCCTGTTCTACTAGTTTGACCTATGTATTTGACCTGACAATCATTTCAAGCAGGGTATTAGATAAACTAAATTGTTTTGTTTTAAGAGCTCTACAGGATCCTTTAACCGACAAAGCTTGTTTCTAATTGATTTTGTGGGTTTGAATGTCAGCCACTTTTATTCCTGCCTTGTTAAGAATTCTGCGTAAGGCTTCCGAGGTTCCTTCCTTGTATGGAATTACTATTGATTTAGATCCCTTATTCTTGGTGTCGTCATTATTATTATTATTATTATTATTATTATCACTATTATTATTATTGTTATTATCACTATCGCTACTATCATTATTTATTTTATTTTTACATTTCCTTACATATTTCCTGACTAATTTATCCGGGTAATTATTAAGTTTCAAGGCTTCTTTTATGTGTATCACATCCTGTCTTAGATTTTCCTTGATACTACTTACTTTTAAAAACAAACAAACAAAACAATTTAGTTTATCTAATACCCTGCCGGAATGATTGTCAGGTCAAATACATAGGTCAAACTAGTAGAACAGGGGCAGTCAGACTAGCTGAACATAAAAACTTAGCAAAATCTAAATTGGCTGAAATAAGATAAGAAATCTAGAGAATAGTTCAGCTATACCGCTCACTACATGCAATTACACACAACCATACAATAAGATGGATGGGATAAGATGACAGTTTTAAAATCTAATACAACTAACATGGTGGAGGGAGAGATTGATAACAGAAGCTTTGTTTATCGAATCAACTGCAAACACGTGTAACAGGAATGATTCAACACGTGTCCACTCAGATACCTGGAAAATTCTACTACCCCAACGACGACAAATAGGAGAAGACAAATAAAACCATAAAACTCAATGTCAAAGTCATGTGATCACAATTGATATGATTATGAACAATAAATTTTGTTCGAATCGTCATCCAGTAAACAATAATACTGTTTCACTGACTGTGTGATATGTCTAATAACCAAACTAATATGGAAATTATTCATACTGACATGATATTTGATCATCTGCTGCATACCATAAATGGCTATCAAGGAAACAAGCGTAATTGCATGAAGCCATATACTACTACTGATTTTTTGGCATGAATGAGTAGTAAGATACGACTCAATAAATGTAATCTAAGCTATCTTGCCAGACGCTTGTATAATAATAACAATAATAATAATAATTTAGCAATCATCGGCAGTACGCAACCACTGCTAGGGTTCGAACCCAGGGCCTTCCGGTTACAAGGCCAGCTAGCTCGTATACCATTCAGCCATTCACTGGGATCCGATCCAATGGCCAGCCCGTGAAATTCTAACTTCTACCGATTCGTGATTTAGCGTGACCACAAACCCATGTCATCGGTGGGACATCCATCCTCACACTTGACAACTGGGCACATTAATTTTCTATAGTTTTGTTTGTAAGGGTTAGTTTTCTTTTTCCGAGTTAAGGGTCGCGCAAAATCACGAATCGTTAGAATTCATGCGCTGGCCATTGAATCGGGAGGGTCCCAGTGAATGGCTGAATGGTATACAAGCTAGCTTGCCTTGTAACCGGAAGATCCTGGGTTCAAACCCCCCTGTGGTGAGTGTGTACTGCCGATGAGTCTCAAACTAGGCTAACGAAACAGCTGTTCAGTACTCACTGCAGCTGGTTTTCAGTGGTTCTCTCTAACTGATATCAATTCCGTGATCAACTTGTAAAAACAAAACTAACCCTTACAAACCAAACTATAGAAAATAATGATAATAACCACTAATATGCATAGCCATCGTGACGACAATATGCTAAGGAGACCACTGAGAGACAACACGCGCCAGGCAGTCGATAGGAAGCCTTAAGGGAAATGACAAGTTTGAGGGTAAGGGGGTTGACATGGGGATGAAAGAGTATGAGCCAGAAAAAGAGGATTGGAAAAATAAAAACAGCGCAAAAACGCAGATGTGCCTTTGAAGCCCTCTCTATGTTTCACACTCGAACGTCTAGGGAATAATAATAATAATAATAATAAAAGCTGCCGACGCTTCCTTTTACATTTCCAGTGGAACATAGAGCTTCAAGCTTCAGCTTTGGAGTTCCAATAGCAGGATGGCATTACCAACCTTCCCGCTCCACAGGTGGCTCAAATTAGGCTAGAGGCTGTGTCAGCTGGGGATCAAATCCCCTCCTCCTCCCTAGAGGACATACATGATTGGCGAGTTAAAAACGACACAAAATAGATCAGCACAGAAGCACAAACAATCACACACACACACACAATAATATTTATGGAAAATAGAACTTTGTATAAAATATGCATATATTAGTTTACTCGATTAAAAAAGCACACACGCAAAAGTCAAGAGGGATACAAGTTATCAAACAAAATAGAAAAAGAGGGAAAATATAAAGTGAATTAAAGCCACGATAGAGGAGACAAACAACCATAGCAACAACAATACCACCAACAACAGCTGCTGGATACGATGAAAAACAGAAGATACGATGAAAACCGACAAAACAGTAATGAAAACAATATAAAACAAATATACATATATATAAGGTATCACAGATCTGTCTATAATTTCCTGTTCTCGAAATAGTGGAGATCCTGAAGAGGTCTCGGATAAGAGGAAGGGCGAGTCAACCTACCAATATCACATTTCAAGAAGAAAAAAATACTCATATTAAAGTATAAAAAAGAGAATATTAAAAAAGGGGGGGAAAAACTATAAATAAAAAGTTATATAACAAAAATAATAATGATCACAAAATGTGTCATGTGTAATCTTGAAAGGACAAACAACGCTCTGTTGTGGTCGACACGAAGGCTGTAGAACGGTAGCAGAGCGGGTTTTTTTCTTTCTGTGTCATGCTGTGCTGCATTGTTTTTTAATTCCTGAGTTATTTTCAAATACTGTGGAGAAACAAAGAAAACAAAATAAACAAAAAAAACAACAACAATGTATGCATGGATGATGATGATGATAGATGGATGTATTTTAGATGGAAAGAGATTGAATCGCGTAGAGAAACAATCTTCCGCATACACTGAAGATAGGCGATCTCACAACCAGCAGAACAAATCGATTGTGTGTAGTGACTGGACCGGAATGGATAAAATGAAAATGAACATTCATAGATGGATATGTTTGCTTGTTTAGCTTTTGTTAAATCGTTCCATACATTCTTGGTTCTGTGAACAAAATGGAAATAGAGAAAGAGAGGAAAGTGAATTACAAGAGTGAAAGTCTGGAGTTGAACACTCTTCATTATAGAATCTAAATGGAGGTTGAAGATTGAGGATCGTTAAGTTTGATCACAGATTGGTATCAGTTAAAGAGTCATGCTCGCGTCGGTGGCATAGTGGTTAGCACGCTCGACGACCATGCACATGGTCCGGGGTTCGATCCCCGGCCGACGCACTCCTTAACTTCGCTAAGCCAGAAATAATGCTGGTGAAGAGGAGAGGTTGGGCATGAGGCTAGCAACCCCATCCTGTAAAATAAACACTGCTACGGAAAATTCAAGCCACTAGCTTGAAGTCCTATGTTCCACCGGGGAACGTACAGGAAAAGAAAAGAGTCATACAGAAAACCAGAGAGTGCTAAACAGTTGTTTCGTCCTATTTTCGGACTCTTCATCAGCAGACACCTACAACCCTCCACAACAGGAATTGAACCTAGGAGCTTCCGATTACGATGTCAAGCTAACTGAACACTCACTCATTTGTGTGTGGGTGGATGGGGTGGGGTGGGGATCCAATGGCTCATGAATTTTAACCTCTGTCAATTCGCGAATTTAGGATGATCACCAGTCAGTGTTATTCACGACGAGTGGACCAACGCTGGTCATAACATCTCTCTACAACTATACCAAGTTTTGTCCTGCAGTCAGTCACAATTTTTGGTATAAGGTTAATTTTCAAATTTTGGTTGACTGCCTGATATCAATCCGTGATCGAACTTGAAAAAAAAATCGAATTTTTACGAACTAACTCTTGAGAAGAAAAGTAATTAATGAGACCACTGACTGACTGGATTAGGAATTTTGTTGTCTATAGTTTTCAAGATTGACCAGGTTGAGAGATATAACACAACCCTTATTCAATATCGACGCGAATCAGTAAAAAGTTAGAAGTCGAAACCTTTTAACCCTGAAATCTATCTCTCCCCCCCCTTCCCCAGCTGGATGTTCAGTAGAGATTCGGTCGAAAATGAAGCAAAGCAAATGGTTAGTATACCTTCGTTAGTGATATTAGATGGTTAGAGGAGATCGGCCACAGGAAGCCTTGCTCTCGACCTAGGTTTCATGCTAGTTGGCACTCACCAGTCCGCAAGGCAGGTGGATCTGCTACACTGAAGGAACTCATATCCCTTCTGAGATTCGAACCCGCGCAACCTAGTGCTGCCTGCAGTCAGAGACGTTACGCTATTCGGGCTCGCGATTGACTTCCTGTAGGACTGTAGTGGATACTTGAATTGGACACTAGTCAGTAACCAGTGTGATGTGTCTGGCTAGACCTTTCTTCGGTTCAGATTGAATTCTATCAGTCCAGTGTGCAATGTGGCCAACATGCCACTAGGTAGCTCGTCATCACGGTGTATATTGATTTGATGATATCAGATGGTTGGAGGCAATCTGTAGTGGTAACGTCTCTGACTGTAGGCAGCACTGGGTGATGCGTGTTCGAAACTCAGAAGGGATATGAGTTCCTCCAGTGTTGCATATACGCCTTGCTGACTGGTGAGTACCAACTAGCACGAAACCTAGGTCAAGCAAGGCTTCCTGCCGATTGCCTCCAAACATCTGATATCATCAAATCAATGTGCACCGTGATGCTACTACCTAGTGGCATAGTGGCCACATTGCAAACCTGACTGGCAATAGAAATCAGTCTGCACCAAACAAAGGACAAGCCAGACACATCACACTAGTTACTGACTAGTGTCCAATCAAAGCACCTTCGGTAATTTCCTATGTTCTCAAGATGACGAAAGCTTCTTTCAAATAAATCCTTCAACCAATCAAACAAATTCCCTACACAACCAGCACTTGAAAATCAATGATTCCCCAGAAATCTACTACTACTACAAATTATGGATTATTAATTTCAACCTTCTTTTCAATCAAACAGATTGATTCGCCTTTGACATTTTCGCAACTTATCACAACTAGATCAATAATAACACCTCATTTTTATTCGTTTCTAATATAGGATACAGGTCATGCGCATGTGTTCGCCTAAAAGGTCATTTTAAGAAAGACGCAATCAATCTTCTCTGAATTTATTATTTCCTACAAATAAGAAGTTTGGTTCATTTTTTTTCTCTTTTTGTGGTTTTACACTCAAGAGTTTACAGTACCTTACCTTACCAATCCTAGGTGTGAATGCATAAAATAATAATATTAATAGTAGTATGAAATGCAATTAAAACTAAAGTGTTTGTGATTATAATCATAGTTAAATGTCAAGTGACAAAGCAAATTAATGTCATATATAGAATAATTCATAGGATGGATAGAACTTGAAAAAGGGTGTGCAATTATAAGATTAGTAGACAAATCGAATAAAATAAAAACGTTACGTAACATTGTGTGAAATTTGATAACATAGAATTTAACGTTGTAAAAAAAAAATTGATTTAGAATGACAATTGGGACGAGTGAAATAATACCGGGGACAGTTCAAAGTGAGAATAGTAATAGTAACAATTGACGTAATAAAGGAAGAGTATACAAATTGAATAGACAAAAATGAAAAATTGGTAGAGCTAAAATATGATTGGGGATTACCATACTTTAGCATGGAGGGATTAAGACCATGAAAGTTGGAGGGGTTGAACGAACTCTTTCTGTACACAGAGATCTGGCTTTTCTGTTTCGATAGCCAAAGCTTCAGCAATACAGATGAGTCTAATACGTAGTGATTTCGGTAAATTACTTTTTGCCTTGTAGATGACTTTAAAGGCGGAGGCTGTAGAGGTAGGGTGATCATTATCGACCAGATGTTCAATGATCGCGCTTCTTATTGCTCCACTTCCACCTCGTAACAATCATGCAGGATAGTCGACCACTACTGTTCAATAACCTGAAACACAAGATCCCGCTGTTGACCAACTCTATGTGTGTTTATCAATTCACCTGCTCGTGTGGAGCTAGGTATATCAGTCGTTCGACTCGAGTTTTGTCCAAGAGGGTGCAAGAACACTACCCTCCTGCATGGTTGTTACGAAGAGGTGGAAGTGGAGCAATAAGAAGCGCGATCATTGAACATCTGGTCGATAATGATCACCCTATCTCTATAGCCTCCGCCTTCAAAGTCATCTACAAGGCAAAAAGTAATTTACCCAAATCACTACGTATCCGACTCATCTGTATTGCTGAAGCTTTGGCTATCGAAACAGAAAAGCCAGATCTCTGTGTACAGAAAAAGTTCGTTCAATCCCTCCAACTTTCATGGTCTTAATCCCTCTATGCCAAAGTATGGTAATCCCCAATCACATTTTGGCTCTACCAATGTTTTCCTTTTGTCTATTCAATTTGTATACTCTTCCTTTATTACGTCAGTTGTTACTATTACTATTCTCACTTTGAACTGTCCCCGGTATTATTTCACTTGTTCCACTTGTCATTCTAAATCAATTCTGTTTTGCAACGTTAAATTTCTATGTTATCAAATTTCACACGATGTTACGTAACGTTTTTATTTTATTCGATTGGCCTACTAATCCTATAATTGCACACCCTTTTCAAGTTCTATCCATCCTATGAATTATTCTACATATGACATTAATTGTTTTGCCACTTCACATTATAACTATGATTATAATCACAAACATTTTGGTTTTAATTGCATTTCATACTAAGCAGGCAAAGTTATACAATATATAGATTTATTACATTATTGTAGGTAATGTTAGTAGAATCAATTTGATTTTCTCACACAAAGTTAACCTTGTGGCTGTGTCAGTTCATCTATATGTTAACTGTATCCGCCTGCCCATCTTGACCTTGACCTCAATTACTGTCAACCAATTTGGCTAGCAACCATCTCTCACCACAACATGACTATATTTTGATCAAACATTACTCAATTACGTTACAATTGCTAGTAAAGTCTAAACTATTATTGTTATTATTTTATGCATTCACACCTATGATTCAATTGCCTCACTGGATATAACTTCTTAAAAAGGCCATATAAATACAGCGTTATGATAAATTCGTTGTTGGGGAGAGTCCCTTCGCTGAATCACCACTTGTTTTGATTTTCTATATGTTACAATGGGAATTTTCCCCAAGTTAAACGAATTTTATCATAGTTGGATATTCAGTACATAAAAACACACACACAATTGAAGCCAATATTTCCCATGGTTTCCCAGGATTTTTCACCCGGTTCTAAAACCACCACAACCACCATCTGCTCAATCTAGTGTCCATCGAAGAAAATTCTCCTCTGTGTGTAGGATGACACACACACATCGAGTGGTCTTTCAAGTGATAATCTTACAATGAACCTGTTGACTGATAAATTCCTATGAACACTCACCTACCTTATCATTGTTGTGCGCGTCAGTAGTTCAGTTTGTCAAGCGCGGTAGATCGATGCACTCTTCTAAACCTCACCTAACCAGTAATAGACCTGGGAAAGAGGGAACGTTGAGTGCGAGGCTAGGCAACATCCACAAGAGAGTGTGGATTAGCGCCAGCACGAGCTACTACTTTCCCATGGTTACCGGTGGCCAAAACAAGTTCATAAGCCATTCAGTCTTCTCAGGATTCTAGAGCCTATGTACACCGCAGATTTTTGAAATCAGAGTTTTTCAGCTCCCATAAGCCGACCAGTGTGTATGTCATATCCATCAGTCCAGCTGTAATCGTCAGACATTCGTATTCACCCTTTCACCCTTGGGAAGAACATGTCCGTCTTAACGACTTAGGAATCGACTTGTTACCAGGGAATAGCCTTATGGACTTAGAATATGCAGATGACATTGTCCTGTTAGGGGAGGATGCTGACAAAATAGAGCAGAGTCTTCTGAACACCTTGAGCAGCAATCTTCGTGTGTTTGGCATGCGATTCGCCCCTGTGAAATGTAAGATGCTGCTACAGGACTGGACTACGTCAACTCCTAGCTTAGTGATAAGGAGTGAAGTGATAGAACATGTTGACCACTTCACCTATTTGGGAAGTTGTATCAGCACCAACGGACTGATTGGTGACGAAATCTCAGCACGGATCCAAAAAGCTCGGGCTGCTTTCGCCAACTTACACCGTGTCCGGCATAGGCGTGACATCCGACTATCAACCAAGGGACGTGTATACTGCTCAGAAGTTCGCTCCGTCTTTCTCTCTGCCTCTGAAACATGGCCAATACGAGTTGAAGATATGAAAAGGTTGACTATTTTCGATCATAGATGTCTACTATCTCTTTCTCACGTTAGGTGGCATAATAAGGTAAGTAATGTTGACGTTAGGCGTAGAGTGTAGGGCAAAGAGGGAAAATCAATCGACGAGGCTATAAAGTTACATAGATTGAGATGGATAGGTGACGTGCTGCGTATGCCTAACCATCGCCTCCTCCGACGGACGGGCATTACTAGCTGATATAGGTGCAGGTTGGAAAAGAGTGAGCGGTGGCCAAACGAAAACATGGCATCAATCAATCCATGAAATCCTTGACAGTTAAACTGAGTCAGGTAGGGAGATGCAGACTTCCGGGTTGGGGCCCGCCCTCGGGACTCTAAGAATCAATGGCTGGAGACAATGGGTGACATGGCTTAAAATCGTTGTCAATGGCTTACGCAGATGTATTCAGTCTCTGTAATCTTTCATATTCCTTTCTACCATTACTCATTCTGTTTCATTCACTCTTATACTTGTCAAAACTCTATTGATTCTCTTTACTCATCTTCTTGTCTACCTTTGTGTGCTATTTGGAATGTGGCAACTCGAACTGCTGCACTTCGGTGCCAAGTTCAATGTTGAATCTAGACAGACAGAACACGTCCGTCAGTGTAAAGGCAGTGAAGGTTATCGTGTATCCGGTGGTGAATGTTGATGGAACTGTAGGCTATACTTTTATAAAAATTACTTACTGCTATGTAAATCATTTAAGTAACAATAATAAATGATATATACATACATATATATATGTATAATACTTACACAAGGAGAATACATGTCGACTTCCAAGGTTCACTCGTGTACGCAATGGAATCATACTTCGTGCACCAAAAACTAAGAAGAGAGATAGTAAAACTAGTACTACACAAACTAGAAATCTTAATCGAAATGATATCAGCAGTATATCCGCCTATAGGGAAGAATATGGGAAGAAAAACAACAACAAAAAACAGGAATATAAAGGAAATTGACAATAAAATTTTTAATTTTTATTTATTGATGATTTATTATTCAAAGAATATAAATAAATAAATCTTTACAACAACATTTGCAAGCGCCAGTCATTCACCCATTGACTACACCCACCCACCCCCACAGCCAGATGATCAAGCATAACAATCTGTTCCGGTCAAGTTAAACTTTACGCACCACTAACAACTACTACCAATGGAGTGCGACCACACCAATGACTACGACGAAACGCTCACTGAGCAAGTTAATTAGTGAAACCTGGCAAGCAATGTTGTCATCATCAATTTAAAATATGTTCATCAATGTGTTAGGTTATTGAAATTGGATTTCTGGCCTAGGTTTGGGAAAGATTAAGTTACGGTTTAGGTCAAGGACAAGTTAGGGTTAGGTTAACCTAATATAGACGATATTAAGGTTAGTTTAGGCATATTTTCACGTTAGGTTTAGGCTCAGGAAAGATTAGGGTTGGTTATTGTTAGGGTTAGAAGACCTAAATAATTACATACATAGAATGTGGTTAAATTACTCTGTTGATATAAGAATAGAACTTGTGCACTGTGGTGATAGAGTATAATTCCATTGTGGGCAACATTTATTCTGATAAAGTCTTACAGTGTTGTTATACAGTAGTATTTATTGATGACCACGTTTCGAGCACAATTTATTGCTCAGGAAATATTACTGTATAACACTATGAAACTCTATCACAATGGAATTGATACTCCAACCTAAAACTGAAAGCTATTTTTATCAAACGTTAGAGGAAGGTATGCTTTGTAAGACTTTTATACAGATTTTATGCATCTTTTTTCATAAATATATATGTATTCCAAACGCAAAAATGCCCTCTCACGTGATTGGTGCGTTCGAGGTCATTTGCTGATTGGTAGTTAGTTAGTGGTGCTTAAAGTTTAACTTTGCCCATGTTTCTATTGTTAGTCAACAAGTTAATGCAAGAGGCTGACTGAATTTGAGCCTGGACAATATTCTGGACTCTCCAACCCGCCGCGCCATCCCCACCCCGACCCTCCAAACTAACCATTGTCAAAATAAAAACGCTCTAACCTAAATGAATGCATCAGTGGTTCAGCGGTCGATTGCTGGCCAACCATGCGCATGTGGCCCGGGGTTCGAGTCCCAACCGACGCACACCTTTATCTCCCTTAACCGGTTATAATCCTGACAAAGAAAGGGAAGAATGTAGAGTGTGAGGTTAGCAATCCCACCCTGTAGAAAAGACACCAGTGCCATTGAAACTTCAAAGCTCTAGCTTGAAGACCACCGGCCGATAGCTGCTACCTTGACGTGGTGGTCGGGCTTGCATATCGCAACGACCCAACGAGCCACACTGGCTGGAACGTATGTTCCTGTAGGTCCTACCATGCCAGAAAGGTTGTTTGGATAGCGGTTAGACAAAAAGCAGCTACCCAATGCAACACTATGATTCAAACAAATCCACAAAATATCATGCCGGATCGGTCGGGGCCCGGATTAATAACAACCGCGCTTCCTGCTGCCGTGTCACAGGGCAGAAGTGATAAATATGCTACTGAGACACACCAAACAAGAACAGGCCGCGTGTGACCGGCCTCAAGCAGTTGTCCCCTGGGCTCTGCGGTCACGCAACACTAACCTTTTCTCTATTTCATGTGCCCGAAGACTCAACCAACTTCCACGGTGTGGGCAGCCGGGAAGTAACAACCGCCCACACACTTCCAAAAGCACACGAAGCCTGAAGACCTATGGTAACTCTCATCGAAAACTAACTATCCATGGGATCCTAATAAGCAATATTTAGAATTTTCATACAGGTGGAAAACTTGGCCACTATCCTATAGCGTGTCTTTTTTATTGGATGCAAAAAATACACAGTGTGCGTCGGTGGTACGGCGGTTATGACTCTCGCCGATCATGAACATGGTCCGAGGTCCGATTCCCTGTTGACGCACACCTGATATCTATGGTCGGCTTGCAAAATTTGGGCTACCGATATCACATGCTGAAAATTCCATACCTGTACCAAAAAAATACGGTGTGGAATCAAACTGTAATCGAAAATAAAAATATTATTTACTGTTAGATAGACAAAGTTTCGAACACGATTTATTACTGTTCATAATCAATTGTAACTATACAAATTTGAAACTCTCAGACTTCTCATCCATCTCAGTGGTAGTAGAATTTTCCAGATGCCTGAGGCAGGCATTTAATTATTCGTGTTTGGATATGATAGAGAAGATTTGTAGTTCAGGTGGATGATTTCGATGTAGTTGTGTTGTCTGAGCTAGCTGGCTGGATGGTTTATTTGCAAAGCTTTCATTGCCCTATCTCATAGACTTCTTCCAAAAGAATGAATATCTACGGGACTTCATCAAAAGACATTTACCCCAAAGGAAAGCAGAAAGAAAATCATCCTACCATACATAAACAACATCTCAGAAATCACTGCAAAACTTTTCAAACCTTTATGAATTGATGTAGCACACAAACCAACAAAATCACTTCACTCAGCCAGCCAGCCGTGTGTCAACCAAAAGACTCAATAGCAAATGAAAGAAGACGAAACCAACATCATCTACAAAATAAATTGCAACAACTGCGAAAAACACTACATTGGTCAAAGTGGACGTCCCCTTCGTCTTCGTATCCATGAGCATAAACTAGCCGTCAAAAGACAATGATATCCACTCACTCACTCATATCGCTGCATACAGACAAACAAGGACATCAATGCGACTGGGACAACCAACGTTCAAATATTAAACAGAGGAAACACCAAGAATGCTAGCCAGAGAATTTTTAGAAGACTGGTATTCCAGTAAATCGTCAATCAGTAGACACATCGAGATAGACAAAATTTAGCAACCGATAAGAAGGAAATCTCACACACAAAGGGTCGAACTTCAGGTCAAGGAAACAATCAACACCAATATCGACCGATACAAGTAACCCAGAGGGTGTGAAAATACACAAACACAACCAAAGAGTCACGTTCAAGGTGGTCACCAGGAGAGATGACTAATAAACTTGTGGAGAAATCTAAAAGGCTCACTTCAATTCAAATTGAAGTGTGTGTACTGAAGATGTTGCCTAGTAGTAGGGCAATAATGAAAGCTTGGCAAACAAACCATCCAGCTAGCTCAGAGAACACAACTACATCAAAGTTACTCCTGTTCCATGTATTCTCAGATAATTCGATAAATGAAAGCTTCCCTACTAAATCTCTCCAACCTCTTATGTTAGATGTTAAGACTATCGCCTTATCCCATTTTGTATTGTATGATTCTGTGTAATTGCATAAAGTGCTACAGTCGGGTTTTCTTCTAGATTTCTTATCTTACTAGGGGTCAACTAATTTTAATTTCGCTAGGTTTCTGAGCTCTGATACTTTGATCTGTATATTTGACCACCTTTTAACCACCGTGGGCTATTAAATAAACTGAATTATTTTGTTTAAGGGCTTCCACAGGGTTCTCCAACTGAAATAATTTGTTTTTGAATGCTTGTGAAGGTTTGAACGCAACACTTTTAATCCTACTTTGATAAAAATCCTACGTAAGGTTTCGAAAGTTCCCCTCTTGGTATGGAAACACTACTGACGTCTTAATGATAAGAACAATATGGATGACAAACATAAAACAGAGGGATGACAACACCGACAACAGGGAACTTAAAAGCATCAATAGCACTACCATACAATGAGCGATCCTCTGCTCTGAAACTCTCAGTTTGTAGATTATACAGTGTGAGGTGTGGTGACACTTCACCATTAGTAGTACCAAGCAGATCATACACTGGCACAGCAGTCATTTCAGTTCGACAAAAACACAAAACTATGGCTGAAATTTCACCTTCAACTGTATAACTTCGGTCGGTCGGTCGGTTTTCGACATAGAACTTTGCACATATGTGCGGCAGTTCAAGTCGCCACAATCTATGTAGCACGCAAAGCAAGAGAAGGAAGTAGAAGAAATGCATAATGGAAACAGTAAACAGAGGTGTGAGACAAAGGAATAGTAATAACGGAGAACAAAACAGTTTAATTGGAAATCATAAGTCACAAGGAGTGGATGCATCTGCGCCACTGAGAACGATTTTGAGCCATGTCACCAATTGTTTCCAACCATTGGTTTTTACCGTCCCGGGGACCCCAACCAGGAAGTCTACATCTTCCTACGTGGCTTAGATTAACTGTTGTAGATTTCATTGATTGGTGCCATGTTTTCGTTTGACCGCCGCTAGCTCTTTTCCAGCCTGGCCCTATATCAGCTAACATTGCCCGTCGAGGAAGGCGATGACTAGGCATACGTAGCACATGTCCTAACCATCTCAGTCGAAGTAATTTCACCGTTTCGTCGATTGATTTCCCCGCCTTACCTAGCACTCGACGCCTAACCTCAATATTGCTCACCTTATTATACCACTTCGCGCGGGAGATAGAACGCAGACACCTATGATCGAAGACAGCTAATCTTTTCATGTCTTCTGCTCTCAATGGCCAGGTCTCACAGCCATAAAGGAGGACGGAGCGGACTGTTGAGCAGTACACACGCCCTTTGGTCGATAGTCGGATATCGCGTCTACGCCAGAGACGGCGAAAACTGGCGAATGCGAACCTAGCCCTCTGTATTCGTGCTGAAATTTCGTCGGAGATCAACCCGTTGGGGCTGATGGTACTTCCCAAGTAATTGAAGCGGTCAACGTGTTCTACCACTTCACTTCCTATTTCTAATCTAGGGGTCGATGAGGTCCAATCCTGCAGCATCATCTTACATTTTACAGGGGCGAATCGCATGCCAAACATACGGAGATTGTTGCTCAGGGTGTTCAGTAGACTCTGCATTTTGTCAGAGTCCTCGCCTAGAAGGACTATATCGTCCGCATATTCTAAGTCAACGAGATTATTCCCTGGTAGCAAGTCAATCCCTGAGTCGCTGAAGTGTGATAGGGTTAAATCCATTAGTACGTCTATGATGAAATTGAATAGGAATGGGGATAATGGGCATCCTTGACGGACGCCACTAGTCGTCACCACTTCAGATGACAACTCGCCATAAGCCCTCACCTGGCTGCATGAGTACGAGTAGAGTGCCTTAATCAGTGCAATGTATTTTCTTGGCATTCCCTTTACAGCCAAGCATCGCCAGAGAACCTCCCGGTCGACAGAATCGAAAGCCGCCTTTAGGTCAAGAAATATAATGATTGTCGGACGCCGGTAGGAATGCCTATGTTCTAGAATCTGTCGAAGGGTGAAGATGTGATCAATACACCCTCTACCTGGCCTAAAACCTGCCTGGTTTTCTCGTGTTTGTGTCTCCCGAGCACCACTTAGTCTACGCAGTATTATTGAGCCTAGGATTTTAGATACTATATTAGTCAAGCTAATCCCTCTGTGATTATCACAAGACGACTTGTCCCCCTTCTTGTATATCGGGATGATCAGTGACTTACACCAACCCGATGGGACTTCCTCTGATTCCCAGACGCTGCCTAGAACCTCCGTTAACGCAGACAGTAAACTGTCTCCTCCGTACTTAAATACCTCTGGAGTCAATAAATCAGGTCCCGCTGCTTTGCCTAGCTTCAGATTGGTGACAGCTTTAGTAACCTCAGTTAAGGACGGAGGACCTGTGTCTACATCCCATTCAGGGAGGTGTTGGATGTCCGGCAGGTTAAGTGTGGCTGTGGGCCAATTAAACTGCTCTTCATAGTGTTCTTTCCAGCGCTCCAGACGTCTATCCTGGGAGCTAATTATGGTGCCATTTTTCTCGGAGATTGTTTCGCTTATCATTTGCCTTTTACCACCTGTTTCCCTGATAAGCCTGAATAGTTGTCTGGTGTTGCCTATCGCCGATGCTTTTTCCATCTCTTTCGCCTTTGTCAACCACCACTGTTCACGGTCCTTGCGGAGACTTTTCGTAAGTTTCTTTTTGTGCAGCTTTCGCTCCTCATTGAATTCGGAGCTCGCCGGTATAAGTCTTCTAGCATCTATCAGTTCGGATGAGGCAGTCGAAATCCAATGGTTTTTACTCACCTTTGGATTTACCTTATTCACAGCTTTTACAGCTGTATCTATGGCTGACTGAATATTTTTCCAGGCTTCTTCAGGGTGAGCGCAGCTGTCGAACTCAGATATGTGTTTAGCTAGTTCTTCCTCAAATAGGGACTTAGTTCCCTGGTCGAGCTGGGGACGTGATGGGTTTACCGCCAGCTGTTTCCTACGTCCGTTCAGTCGTAAGCACATACGAGCGCGGACCAGTGCATGATCGGTATCTACACACGTGTTCCAGAAGGAGCGACAATCTCCTACCGACCCACGCCAACGATAGCTTATTGCTATGTGGTCTATTTGTGTCCAGCGTTGATTTGATGATGGGGGTCGCCAGGTCAAACAGTGTCTCTCCTTGTGTTTGAAGTTAGTGCTTACAAGATACAAATGATTATCTGAACAGAACTGTAGGAGACGGTCACCGTTGTCGGTTCGCTGGCACGGAATTCCGTATGTGCCACCGACATTCTTCTCAGATTGACACAATTTCCCTACTTGAGCATTAAAGTCACCAGCTATAACGACTATATCTGAGCGTCTAGCCTTTCGCAGCAAACTAGACAGCTTTTGGTAGAACTCATCCTTCGTTTCATCCGAACTGCAGTCAGTGGGGGCGTAGGCGGAGATTACGAAAAGGCATCGGCGAGTAGTGCAGTCCTTTCTCCTTTTCACTGATCCGTTCAGACGGACAGCACACATTCGGCTATCTACCGGGATCCAGTCAAGTAATGTCTTTTCTGCTCTAGTACTTAAAGCTATCCCAACACCAGCTAATCCTCGTGAGCTAGCCGTCGCATCTCCTGACACCCTCAAGGTGAATTTTGCAGATTCATCCTGTTGGCCAGGTGGGGTTAGGTGAATAACCACACTTGGGTCTTGTATGCGTGTTTCTGAAACACAACATACATCAATGGCTCGGGATGCCAGAGTCTTGGCTAGTGATGCTTGTTGTCCTATTTGGCAAAGTGTCCTAACATTAAATGCTCCTATATAAAATTGGTGGCGTGGTTTTAGGAGACCATCGATGGTGGCTTTTTGGCTTCCATCGTTGTCAGTGCACACAGATTGAAGAGGAAGTGAAGAGCCATCAAGTAGAGGAGTTGCATTGGTAGAAGGAAGGCAAGATAATAGAGATGAAGATGAAGACAAAGATGAGCGAGGATTAGAGGGGTTTCGCGTGCACTTCGGATTGTGAGGGCGGTTGTTACTTCCCGGCTGCCCACACCGTGGAAGTTGGTTGCGTGACCGCAGAGCCCAGGGGACAACTGCTTGAGGCCGGTCACACACGGCCTGTTTTTGTTTGTTCTTTTTTATTTGGTGTGTCTCAGTAGCGTATTTATCACTTCTGCCCTGTGACACGGCAGCAGAAAGCGCGGTCGTTGTTAATCCGGGCCCCGACCGATCCGGCATGATATTTTGTGATGTATTTGAAATCATAGGATTGGATTGGGTAACTGCTTTTAGTCTAACTGCTATCCAAGCAACCTTTCTGGCATGGTAGGACCTGCAGGAACATAAGTTCCAGCCAGTATAGCTTGTTGGGTCATTGCAGTGTTCAAGCCCGACCACCACGTCAAGGTAGCAGCTTTCGGTCGGGACTGTATAACTTGCGAATCGCGAGTTCGATTCACCAAGAGCTTCTCACTTGAACATTAATTCTTTGAACAGTTAGATTATGCTATCGTAAACTAAAATTATTTAAAACACTCTTATCTACAAGGACATTCCTCCTTCATGTGTGATCCTTCATCAAATATACAGAAATATACTGAAGTAAACGAAAGTGAATCCGATACACTCTGAGAAAACTGTCAGTTGACATCGCACGTCAGGCGCTGGAGTGGGAAACAACGAGTAGGGCGTCCGAGGACGACATGGAGGAAATCGGGTGGGGAGGAGATGGAAGCCTGGAGGCATTCGTGGAGCCAGCTGAAGAGGACTGCAGAGAATAGGACGAAATGGATGCAGATGTGTTGGTGAAGCCCTATGTTTTATACTCGGAACACAAGGATATAACCATATGTAATAAAAATAAATATTTAGAGTAATTCCATGATCTATGTATGCATCAGTCTGCAGCTCATCGGTAGCCGCTGGTTAGATATCAAGAAGTTGTACTGGGAAGCCGTGACCAGTAGGGTCAAATCGGTGTCAAGGTGAAGCAGATGCTCATAGATAGCGATCACTGGCGGTAGCGCTACATCAGCAATTCACAGAAGTTAGAATTCACAGCGTATTGGATTCCCAACCAGTAACTGAATGGTCAAAAAGTGGGCCTGGTGACCTGAAGCTCCTCCTTTATGGCTGTGAGCCACGGCCATTGAGAATGGAAGACATGAAAAGGCCAGCTAGCCGTCGTTGATCATAGGTGCCTGTGTTCTATCTTCTGTGTGAAGTGGTATAGTAGAGTGGGCAATATTGAGGTTAGGCATCAGTCGAGTGATTGGATACTGCTGCACATCGGTGCAAAGTTCTATGTCGAAAACAGACAGAGGCCTAAATCCTTGATGAGGTCATGGATGCGCGCAGTTGAAGAGAACCATACTAGCTCTCAGTGATCTCTCTAATGATAATTCATGATGAAAAATACACTGACACTATATATACCAAAATAAGTAATAACAAAAATAAAACAGTATAATTCATTTTTTTAAAACACTCGAACCTCTTTCAAACGCGGGAGAAGATGTGCAGCAACATGGAATTCAGTTTGTATTCGAGTACGTGTATAACATCGATTTGAGTCGAAAACATCACTTCGTTTAGACCATTCAAGAAAACTTATCCGTGCAGATGTATCACCTTTCAGAGAATTTGGTTTACATGTTCTAGGAAGTCTATATGGTTTCATAAAAAAATAATAAAAACCATTAATATTAACATAATTAACATAAGATTGTACTCCAAATTTATACATTTTTTAAATTTTAAAAGTTTTATATATTCAAAAGGCATACAAAACGTATTATCTCTGTGCAGGAGCTGAGTGAATGGCCGACTGACTGGCTGGCTTCAGCATAGAACTTTGCGCCGATGTTTAGCAGTTCCAGTTGTCCCACTCCCTCCACGTAGCATACAAAACAAGAGAAGATAGTAAAGACAGACTGAAAACAGAGATAATAAACAGAAAGAAGTGTGGGAAAAAGAATAGTAATATGGGATAACAATAGAATGTTATTGGATATTATAAATCACACGGAGTGAGTGCATCTGCACCAGACATTGAGAACGATTTTGAGCCATATCACCAACTGTCTCCAGCCTCCATTGGTTGATTCTTACCACCCTTAGGATCCTAACCAATCAGGAAGTCTACACCTCCTTAAGCGGCTGGTTGGCTTAAACTAACTGTTGTGGATTCCATTGACTGATGAAGCCATGTTTTGGTTTGACCATCACTAGCTCTTTTCCAACCTCATCTATCCTATGTCAGATAACATTGTCTGTCAGTCGAGGAAGGTGATGGCTAGGGATGCCTGCGTAACACATCCTAACCATCGCAGTCGATGCAACTTCACAACCTCATCGATTGATTTCCCCTCCTTACCTAACGCTTGACGCCTAACTTCAATATTACTCACGTTATTGTAACATCGAACATGGCAGACAGAATGCAAATGATTATGATCAAATCTTCAAATTACAATGGGCATTTGTCAGTCAGAAAGGCGGAAAGAGCGAACACACATCCTTTGATCTACCGCTTATTATTTTCAATATGTTTCCCAGTGGACGGCCGATAATCTTCACATGATAGTCAAAACTGAACTTTATAAATGACCAAAATAGTCAGACTGCCTGGAACGACTGCTCACAGTCTATTACCAAGTCCTATCAGGAAGAGGTATGAGAGTTAAGTCACACCGAAGATCGGGGGTGATGTGGCAACTACCACCTATACCACCGATATCTCTTTGGTAGTTTGCTAACGACGATTAGAAAATGCCCCCCCTCCCGGTAAAAATTATTTATCCTGACTTCTACTATGATGGTTTGCAGTCAGAAGCAAAAATTGTCATAATGAAAAAAGCCTGAAAAATCTGACATCTTTAAACGAGTTACATGTGACAGGCACTAAGAAGACATTACCTAAGATCAGAAGTAACACGAACAAGACAGAAAAATATAGGTAACCAGGAATATAACAAGCTGTCTAAACCACTTATATAAGCTCCTAAGTCTTATCTCACATATCAAGGTGTTGTTGTGATCGATATTCGGACGGTAGCATTCTACACAAGTTGATCCAATAAATAAGATGGTAGGCACAGTAACAAATACAATGAACAGATTTGCTCACCACTAGATAGATAATAAGGGTGGTAGTGAACGAGGAAAGTGTTTCGCACAGTAACAGCTCATTCACTCATTTGCAAGCGATCGGCCACAGGAAGCCTTGCTCTGGACCTACATTTCGTGCTAGTTGGCACTCACCAGTCCACAAGGCAGGCGGATCTGGTACACTGAAGGAACTCATGTCCCTGCTGAGATTCGAACCCACGTCACCCAGTGCTGCCTGTAGTTAGAGCGGTTACCACTGAGCTATTCGGGCTGGTGATTGACCTCCTATAGGTCTGTGTTGGATATTTTGATTATGACAACTCATCACGTCATCACTCACTTGTGGACCGATGAGGGCCAACTAGCACGAAACCTAGGTGAAGCAAGGCTTCCTGTGGCTGATTGCCTCCAACCATCTAACATCAACAACTAAAAGAGCAACGTGATGGCGAGCATGGTGGCCACATTGCAAACCTGACTGACTGATAGAATTCAGTGTGCACTAAAGAAAGAACTAACCAGACACATCACACTAGTTACTGACCAGTGTCCAATCAAATTTAACAAGGAGTAAGCTAGTAGAAAGATACACTATCTACGCCTCAACGGAAATGTCCTTATTTTAAAGCAGGTGGATGAATACAGTAAGTAGTGGTATTACACAACCGAGAAGTGATAATCTATTCAGGTCAATTCAACTGTTAATTAACGAGACGAAATCCACTTCTAAATGGTAACGTAATAATAATGGCTACTTCTGTGTTAATTTTTCTACCTCTTTAACACTGCCCACCAGGAACGTGGTCTCAACAAATCAGGGGATAAAAATAAGATTTACCGGCGAAAACTAACAGGTAAACAGAAGAAGCAGAAAAAAACGGGACTTGAAGTGAACATAGAGAAGACAGAGGCGATGAATATACCTAACGAAAAAGCATTATTGGTGTAAGCCGTTAATTATCCCGATATACGAAAAGGGAGACAAGTCTTCCTGTGATAATCTTGAGGAAGGGGGGGGGGGGTTAGCTTGCCTAATATGGCATCTAAAGTCCTAGGCTCAATAATCATGCGTAGACTAGGTGGTGCTGGGGAGGCACAAACACGAGAGAACCAGGCAGGTATTAGACAAGGAAGAGGGTGCATCGACCATAATATCTTCACCCTTCGACAGATTCTAGAACATAGGCATTCCTACCAGCGTCCAACAATCGTTATATTTCTTGACCTAAGGGAGGCATTCGATTCTGTCGACCAAGAGTTATTCTGGCAATGCTTGGGTGTAAAGGAAATGCCGAGAAAATACACTGCACTGATCAAGGCACTCTACTCGAACTCATGCAGTCAGCCAGGTGAGAGCTTACGGCCAGTTGTCATCTGAACTGGTGACAACTAGTGG